TGAAAAAATGTTTCATGATTTTAAGATTTTCAGAAAAATTTTGGATTTCATTAACAACCAAAACAACAGCGATTTCCGTGTTTTCTCAACGTTTTTCATTTTTCAATTGTCAACGTTTTTTCCATTTTCCAGAAACAAACGATAATTAAATCTTTTTCTTTTTGAACATAATCTGACTATAGCTAACTGCTACTGGATTGTTTTGTTTAATGTCAACCTTTTTTATTGGTGAAATCGTGAACTTTTTCGTAAGAAAACAAAAATCTAGATCAAATCTCTCTCTGTTTTTTCTCAAATAAAAGACTTTTTCACACACTTTTTTTTCTTCCCCGTAACAAAAACATAAAGATAAAATGGATGATTCGTGATTCTTGTCTTGAAATTCTTACTGCTTTTGTTGCTGTTATAGATTTTTGTTTTTTATTGTTTTTAAAGATTTTTTTTTCTTTCTTTAATGATAATTAAATCTCTTTGCTCATTTTAATGATGAAATACAAAAACCGAAACAAAAAACAAAAAAATCATTATCATCTCTCCTTTTACCTGTGTGTATCTGGTTTCCCAAACAAAACAAAAAAAGGTTCATTAGCATTCTGTTGTTTTTGAACAGATTTTCTCTGTTTCGTTAATGATAATGATGACAATTGTTGTTGTTGTTGTCGATTGTTGTTTTCCATCATAAAACTACAATTTAAATGATGAATGGAATTGAATTGAATTGACAAAACCCGATCTCAACAACAACAACACAGCAGAGAGAGAGATGACATTAATCATTATTTTACCTAAAGGTGTATTACAGATTTGCCAAAACCATCTGGTTTATTTTACCTATGTACGATATATGTGAATTTTTTTTTTGAATTTTGAATTTTTACTTGCCCAGTTGTTGATGATGATGGATAATTATCATTTTTTTGAAATGTTGATGGCTTGTGTTGCTTACTCAGTCTACCTCCGCCCGAAAAAAAAATTGTCTTTTTATTTTGAAAATAGCCAAAAACACACACACACACACCTACGCTGCCTTTTTACCTTGATGAAAATATGAAATATCTGGTGATTTATATGATGTGATGATGGTGGTGACCATTACACTGAATTCATCAAACAAACAAAAAAAAAATCACCATTTTTGAGCGAAAAACAATAATAATAATATTCAGGTGTCTTTAGTTTGGACTATATGTTTAGTTTGTGTTTTTGGTTTGGNAAAAAAAAATATTAATGGAAATTTTCTGGCTGAATTTTTCGTTTTTTTTGTTTTGTTTTCAGACCTTTTGAAAACCTATGATTAAAAACAAACTGTTTGTTTGTTTGTGTGTGAAACATTTCATTATTTTGAGGTTGATAATTTCAAAAAAAAATTCAAACATTATTTGTTTAGGTGACATATTTTTTTCCATTTAGAAATTTTCTGGCAAATTTCTTTTCTGGAAACTTTTTTTCTCCATAAATTTTTTGTTTGATTAATCAAGCAAACAAATTGACTGCCAAAAAACTAAATTTCAATCTTTTTTTTGTTCCAAAAAATTCCAAAAAAATTTCTAATTTTTCCCATTTTTAATTTAATTTTTTTCAATTCAAAAAAAAAACAAAACAGAAATTGTCCAATTGAATTAGCCACCATTGTTGCCATTCAAATAGCCACAAAAATGAGTCAAGATATTTTAAATGAATTCAATTTGAATAATAATAATTCATTAAATATGATGAATAATATCAATAATAATAATAATAATAATAATATCGATACTATCGATACTAAACATCATAATAATCATTTGGATCATCATCATCAATCAAATATTATGGATACAACAACATCAAGTTTTGATGATATACAAATGGATAAATCACCAGCATTATCATCATTATCATCACCATTGAATATCAGTTCCGCAACAACCATTATGGCTGATAATTATAATGAATCACCAACAACAACAACATCGACGATTGATGGTACAATGATGATGATGATGGAACGATCTTCATTACCAAGTGGTTAGTATTTACCAATTTTATTTCGTTGATTTATTAGCTTTTTTGTTCTGTTTTGTGTTTAATTAATTGGTTAATTAATTATGTGTGTGGGTGGCCCAAAAAAAAGCCCAATTTCATATCATATTTCACTAAAAAAAAACAAAGTCTCTTTAGTTTGCAAAAAGGGTTGAAAAGCCAATTTTTTGTTAATTTAAATGATTGATTGTTTAGTTGAAATTTTTTTTCGCTATCTGGTTCACTTTATCAATTTTTTGAATATAGACAGAGAAAACATTGGTGATAATTGATATGTGTGTGTCTGTCTATGTGTGTATGTCAAATCATCTATGACCGAGCTAGTTTTGTTTTCCATTTTGTTTTTGTTTTTTCCATTTTTTTTGGATCAAAAATTATGTCAACAATAGCAACAACCGAAAGCGACGACCATAACAGAACGAAAAGCGAATATAGATTATTAATTTTGATTGATTAATTGGATTGTATTGACAAGTGAAATGAAATGAATACAGGTATTGATTACAATGATTTTTTGTTGTTGTCAGAAAACAAAAAAATGAAAAAATTATTCACCTTTTTTTTCTTCTCCCCACATATATTTTTCCCTTCACTTTTTTTTCTTGTCTTTCTTGATCTCTCTATCTCGCTCTCAGGTACATTTGATAATAATAATAACCTGGCCAGGTCCCATTTTTTTTCTCGAAAAAAATATTCAGTAATTTTTCAGTAGTTTGTACTGTTTGTTTGTTTATTGTGATTGATTTGTGATTGGTAATTTGGCAATGTAGGGAAATAGAGGAACTAGCGTTGGCAAATCGAAAAATTTGAAAAACATTCAAACCCTATGTGATATATTAGCATCATCTTTGTCTGTGTGTGTGTGTGTGTTATACATGCAAAAAGTCTTTTTGTTTCTTTGGTCAATTTGTGCTGTGTTGTTTGTTTGTTTGTGGGAAAAATTGAATTTTTTTAAAGTTTTTTTTTTAAACAAAAAACAAAAATGTTTTCATTCATACGGCTATTGAAATCAATGTTTTTACGAATATTTTTTTTCATACCAAATTTTCATCGTCGTATTCGTAATGATAAAAGTATTTTTCTTGTTTGAAATTCTTTCAACAAAAATCTAATTCATTTTTTTTTCGTTTGTTTTCAATAGCACTTTGTTCACATGATTTGGCTAAACAATCACGTGAACTTGTTGATGATTGTCTACAACAATTTGGTAATAATCCTGATCATGCTATTTCAATGGTCAATGATTATTTGGATAATAATGATAATCATTGTAAATCATTGGAAAATTCGACAACAAACAGCAGTAATAGTGATGATGATAATTCAAAATCATCATCATTATCAACATTTAAAACATCTGTTTCGGCTATTAAAAATCGACGACAATCTATGGAAGATCGACATATTATTATACAGAATTTAAATAAAGCATTAGGTTTGGATGTAAGTCAAGTTTTGCTGTTGTTCGTTGTTTTGATTTTGAAATTAATGACAAATTTTTTTTCCCGTTTTAGTTACCAAAAACATATAGCTATTATGCAATATTTGATGGTCATGCTGGTATTGATGCAGCTAGTTATTCAACAGCACATTTACATCATTATCTGGTTGAAAGTGAAGCATTTCGTAATGGACAAATGGAAGATGCATTTCGACAAGCATTCCATAAAACTGATGAATTATATACAAAACGTTTACGTGAAGATGGTATTGATAAATTAAAACCAAGTGGTACAACAGCAATTTGTGCATTAATTGAAGATAATAAAAATGTTTATCTTGCATGGGCTGGTGATTCACAGGTAAAATTTAATTTAATTAACATGTTTTTTTTTTGAATTTTGTTAATTTTTTTCTGTTTCAAATAGGCTGTATTAGTACGTAATGGTTGTCATGAAGAAATAATGTTACCACATAAACCTGATATGGAAAGTGAAAGGATTCGTATACAAGATCAAGGTGGTTTAGTTATCTATATGGATACATGGCGTGTAAATGGTATACTATCAGTAACAAGAGCTATTGGTGATCCTGAACATAAATCATTAATAATTGCTGATCCAAGTTTTTCAACATTTCAAATTGATTCATCATTAGATTTTTTAGTACTTGGTTGTGATGGTTTATTTGATCATCTAAATGGACAAGATATTACATCAAATGTATTTGAATATCTTTGTAAAAATGAAAATAATGATCCAGAATTAGTACAACAAGGTGTTTCAGCTTATCTTGCTGAACAAGCTATACAAGAAGGTTCTAGTGATAATATTACAAGTATTGTTATATTTTTTAAACCATTTGAACAATTAATTGCAACTGGTTTATATCCAACAAATCAAATTGAAAGCAATCAAGAAGAAGAATCAATGATAATTAATGATACCAATGCTGCTGCACTTCCAACAACAAATGGTGGTCATTTTCCTTATACGGATTTTGCTGAATTACCAATTGGTATTAATTATAAATTAACATCGAATGAGAATTTATCTTCACCAACAACAACAATCGATTTGGATGGTCAAAATTATCAATCGCAATCGATTGTATCGAATAATAATACTAATGATATTATTGAATCTTCTATGGAATTACCCGAATCAGAAGAACAGCCAATTGAAAATAATGATGTTGATATCGATGATAATAATCTTGAACATTGTCAAGATGAATTTGGTAAGTTGGTTTTTCTTTCTCCCTTCAAAACAATAATAATTTATGATACACAAGGTTTGCGTAGGTGAATTTGATGATGATGACAATTTTGCCAAAAGATCATCAAATCCACCTACACTTTGATAGTAAATCAGTGAGAGAAACTTAGCCAGAAAAGAGAGAGAGAGACAGCACTGTAACCGAACTTGATTTTAATTTAAAAATTTTGAATTTCTGACAACAGAAAACAAGAAATGTCAATTCTTAATTTTTTTTTAAAACAACAACCAGAAACAAACAAAGGGAAAATCTAATTACAATTTTGTTTCTTTTTTTTCACACAAAATCATCATAATAATGGCAGGTTTCTTTTGTAAAAAAAAGGTTTGCAGTATGATGATGATGATGATATTACATCATGATAATCATCATCATCATCATCAAGATCGGCTTATTGTGGTTGTGTCTTTTTTTCTTCTTCTCCTCCCACCCTTTGAAATAATGATAATGGTAATAATTTTAAAACCAAACTTGAACGAGAAAAAAAAATCGGTTCATTTTTTTTTGAACTGGAAAAATGTTTGATGCGAGAATCCATAATAATAATAACCATAATATAGCAATAATAATAAGTAATTTTCAATTCGAATCAAGTTTTTTTTTTGTTTGAAAGAAAAAAAAGCTTGTTGAATTCTAGTTTGTCCATGTCTGTGTGTGTGTGTGTGTGATTTGTAGATGATGATGGTTTGGGTAATGATTATGTTTGGTGTGTTTGGTGTGAGTGGATTCAGGTTTCTGGTTTTCTGGTTTTTATTTTATTCTCCATGTTTCTCTCTCTTGCTGTCATCATCATCATCATCATCATTTTTGAAAGCCATTAATTTTTTGTTTGAAAGAAAAATAATCCATCTAGATTGGATAAAATAGGTGGAACCATCAATGAATGAATGAATGCTGAGAGAAAATTGATGGATGAATGAATTTGAGTGTGTCTGTAAGGAAGAGAGAGAGAGAGATGGTTGTTTAGTTTTGTTTGTATGAAAATCACCCTGTATATCATAAATATATAGACAAGTCTAGGAGCCATAAGGAAGGTTATATAATATAATGTGTGTGTGTGTGATGATGATGATGGTGGTATAGAATCTTTGGTTGCCAGAAGAATCAACAGTTTTTTTCTTGGAGTTGTAAGTATAGCATGGGGAGAGGCTGTGTATTGTTGGTATGGTGTTTTGAACATTGAAAGAAAAAACATTCAATTTTTTTTACCGGATTCAAATCGTCGTATGACGTTTTCTTTCTTTCTTTCCTTTTTGTGTGTTTTTATCTCATATACATGACGCCGACAATCAACCAAACAACCAGCCAACCAACAGATTTGATCTATAGATTTTTTTTTGTTGAAAGAAAAAAAAATTGATGTTGCGCGGTGGCGCACACCGGCACATTGTTGTTTATTCAAGTTTATTATTTCAAAAAAATTTTAATTTGAAAGTTTATTTTTAGTTGTTGTTTTTTGTTTGTTTTAATCAAACAATTTCACTTCTCAAATGCGCTTTATATGCAAACAAACAAACATCCATCAGCCAAAAATTCATTCATCCGATTTTTGAAAAAAGAAAATTAGGATTTCGGTTGGTTTGATTTTTGTTTTTGTTGTTTTTTTCTAATAACCGAATCGAATCAAATGATGATGATGATTATGTCAATTTTGATTTGAACGAAAAATGCGTTACTTCCTTGAATCAAAATCAAGTTTTTTTCTCTCCTTTCAAAGGTTTTTGTCATGCTAATAATGTGATTTTTTTTCTTTTGTCTTTCTGATAATGATTTATAGATTTCGTGCGAACAACAACAACACCGACCGAAACAATCATCTTAAACGATAATAATAATCAAACAAAATCAATCGATATTGATGATAATAATTGTTTGATGGTTGATGAACAACAACAACAACCAGAACAAGAAGATCAAAAAGAGCAGGAACAACAACAACAGTTAAAAGAAGAATTATCATCATCATCGGCGGCAACGATAATGGAAAAGACATTATTATCGGATTATAATAATGATGATAATAATAATAGTGGTGGTGTAGGTGGTGGTAAAATATTATCATCCATTAATGATGATGATAATAATGGTGAGAATTTCGATCAACATTTCAATCATCATAATGATGATCATGAAGAGCAACAACCACAACAACAACAACAACAACAGGAAGAAAATTCAAAAGTATTGATTGAACAATCAAAACAGAAATCATTTATGAATGAATTTGATGATAATCAACACCAACAGCAACAACAAATGGATCAAATGGACAATTTTTTCAATCAATCATCGTTCAATGATACTAATAATATGAATAATAATCCATTTAATTTGTTGGATGATCAAAAAACAACATCGACAAATCGTACAAGTATTAATCCATTTGAAAATAGTAATGCAAATATAACAATTATGTCTGCTTCACCATTCGATGATAATAATGATACTGATGGCGATGGTGATGGTGATGGTGGCAATATTATGAATATGGAACAATCAAATAATGATCAAACAGAAATTTTATCCATTTCAAATGATCCAATGATGGATATGATGATGATGATGAATCAATCAGATTCGAAAATTGTTGATGCTGCTCTTGATTCTTCATATGATAATGATGATAATGAATTAGCCGATGATTTTATGTTTGTACAACCAAATCGTTCAACGGATGAATCAACAAATTTTCCTACAGCAACAACAACAATTACCGAAAATATACCCGGTACAATGATATCACCAATGTTATTGATGAATTCACAATTTGAATCTGGTTTATTATATAATCAACAAGAACAGCAACAACAACCGGAACCAGAAACGGATGATTCATGTTTGATTCAAAATGAACCGCAAGTTTTGTTTGAAAATGATGTAGATCAGGTAAATGTGTATTTTGAAAAACTAGTAATTTTTTTAACAATGTTTTTGTTCAAAAATAGCCATCCACTAATGATCATTTTGAATCGAATGAATTAAAAGAACCGCAAGAACCGGTGGATTTTAAACAACCGGAAATTATTTGTGACATTGGAACAACAACAGCATCAGCAGTCGAAGAAGGAGAATGTTCAAAATCATTTGAAATTCAAAATGATTCAATGTTTGATGAAAAAATGATTGATATTGATCTATCGGCTGGTCAACAACAAGCACCGGTTACTACTACCGATATTGATAATTTTGTTGATGAAATGTCTGCATTAACATTACAAAATAATTCAGAAATTATGAATATTGCTACAAATGATCATCAAAAGAATGGTGATATTCTTATCAACAATGAAATATCTGATCAAAATAATGAAATAATCAATGATAATTTGGAGGATTCTAAAGTTGTTTTGGATGATGAACAAGTTAATCATGTTGAAAGATCTGTACCAAAATTTGAAGAAACAAATTTAGATGATAATCTTGTATCGTTACCACCACAATCGGCCAATGAAATACAGATTCCTTTGGTTGAACCAACAACAACAACAGTTGATAAAAAGGAAGAAGAAATCTCAGAAAAAGTTCTATCTGAAATACAACCGGCTATTACCGCTGCGGCTGCTGCTGTGGCTGCCGCTTCTGCTGTTGCTGTCAAAAGTACTGTTCCATCAAAAGCAACAATCAAAACTGCTTCATCTACGAAATTACCGGCAACAAAACCATCAACAACAACAGCAACAAAAACAACATTATCAAATACGAAAAAAACTGGTGTTACAACAAAATTAAGCAATTCTGGTACCAAAACCAGTTTAGCACCTAAAACTACAAATCGTTTGACAACGGCTACCGCTAAATCATCATCAACAACAACAGCAAGTAATAAACCAACAACAATCGCTAAAATTGGTGATAAAAAACCATTGACAAGTACTATATCATCATCAAGATTGACAACAACTACAAATCGTTCAACAACCGCAACAAATCGTCCAACAGCATCAACAACCAAATCATCAACAGCAACGGCTTTATCGGCTAAACCGATGCGTACAGCTTTGACTACCCGTACAGCAACAACAACAACAGCATTGAAATCAACATCAACTAAACCTGCATCAACAACATCGACGACTGCTGCATCTTCTGTACCAAAAACAACTCGTCCAACAACAACAACAGCAGCAACGAAAACAGCGTTAAAACCAAGAACAGCGATCACATCATCGACTAATGTTGCGGCAAAAAAACCAATGACAACTTCAACGACTGGATCCAAAGTTGGATCAATTCGTCCAGCAACCAAAATCACCACCACTACGACTACAACCAATGCCATCAATAAACCTTTAGCTTCAAAAGCTACAAACATAACGAAAAAAACAACACCGATTACAAAATCTTCGGCCGTTTCATCAACATTGAAAAAAACAAATAATACTCAAAATGATGTGAAAAAAACTGTACCGAAAATTCCACGAACATCATCAACAACAACAGCATCAACAAAATCAACAACTACAAATGGTGTTAGTAATGGTGATAGTGGAAAAAATATGGCAGTACCAAAAAAACGACCTCCGCCGCCACCAACCCCTCAACAACAGCCACCAACAACATTGATGACAACATCAAATTATTCACATAAACGTACCAGTCTAATAAGTCCGGAAAATTCATTGAAACAAGAATTGGAAGATGCTGCTTTGAATGAAATGAATGCAAATGCTGCATTAGAAGCAGCAGCAGTAGCTGCTGCTACTGCTGCAGCTTCCGCATCTGAACAATTTAATGGATCAAATTGATTTGATTGATTGATTTTGCTAAACAAACATACATCACATAACCCCGGTAATGATTGAATTTCAATTCGATTTCGTCTAGTCATCATTATCCTTTTAAAATAATTGATTGATTGATAAAATAATAATGATTTTGAACTCGAAAAAAATAAAACAATAACGAAATCCACTAAAACCACAAATCCTCGATCTATGACAACTGATTTGATAATTGATTAAATACACCACTTCAAAATGCATTAATAGATTTAATAACAAACAAATTGTACTACAATGATACCAGATGGTTAACAAACAAAAAAAAACATCAAACAACCAGACGAGATATTTATACTTTGAACGCACTTTCTATTTTTTTTATATTCAAAAACCAAGAATCCACTTTTTAAAAAATACCATACCATACCATTAACATAATGATGATAAATTGAATTTACATTGATTGATTGATTTCTCAAATGATTTTTATAAAAAAATGACAGCAAATCTCCCTTCAAATGATAAGCCTTTTTTCAACAAAACAAAACAGAAAACAGAAAAAGAAGAATTTTTGATGCATTCATTTTTATTAATTAATTAATATTTGATAATTTGATTTGAAATCTGAATAAATAAATAAAAATTACACATTTTATTAATTAAAAAAAAAGGATTTTCGTTTATAATTTGAATTCTGTGACCAAAGGAGCGAAAGGATTTTTCGTTTGCATCATTAAATTGGGAGGAAAAAAGAATTTTTTTGGCAACAACAACAAAAATGAACTTGGTGAATTTTGGTTTGTTTAATTTCACCAAATATTACATTTTTGTTCAGGATTCATTGATGATCCTTTTGGACAATTGAATGCATCAGAAAATTGTGGTGAATTTGATAATGTACCAATAACACGATATTGTGATGGTGTATGTGGATCATTTCGGATTTGAATTTTTAATGCTTCAGGTGTATTCACTGAACACCATACCTGTGCAAAACCAATAAAAAATAATTGATTTTGTGTAAAATTCAATCCAGGTAATAGGATATTTTCACCACTTTCTTTTGACCATTTTGTAAATGCCTATTTTTCAACAACAAAATCGATTATTGAATGTTTGATGCAAGCATCCATGAACTTACATGAAAAGCCGATGTAAGACCACCATTATCGGCTACATTTTCACCCAATGTTTGTTTACCATTAACATGATCGGTACCAATTTGATATTTTGAATATTGTTCTTGAAAACATTTCATTCTTTCTTTAAATTTTAATATTGTACCATGTTGCCACCATTCATGTAGATTACCTTTTTTATCATATTCTCTTCCTTCTACAGAAAAAAAGATTTGTGGAAAATTTATCGAAAAAGTTGCAGAAAAAATTGATTTAAAAAAAATCAACTTACGATCATCGAATGCATGTGTCAGTTCATGTCCCATAACAACACCCATTGCACCGAAATTGAGCGCTTTTGGTCGATTTACATCATAAAATGGTGGCTAAAACAAAAAAGTCAATTAGAAAAAGAATAAAATCAATCAATTTTTTTTGCCAATTTTTACCTGAAGAATACCGGCTGGAAAAGCTTTATGAAAAAATGAACAAAATGAACAAACAGAAATTATTGAATCCAAATCAAATCAAATATGAATATAATTTACCAATCTGATTTTTAGTTGGAGCATAATAGGCATTAACAACCGGTGGTGCCATATCCCATTCACTTTTGTTTGTCTTTATTTCAAAATAGGAAAAAATCAAAAATCAAAATTCATAAATCATCACAGAATCAACTAGGGATACATTACCGGTTTATCAATTTTTTTAATATATTCATTCAGGAGAAAAATATTTGCATTAATACTATTTTTAAAATATTGATCATCTTTTACTATTAACTGGGTTAAAATTGATTGGAGGTTTGGAAAAGTAAAAATTTTGTAATTTTTGTTAGTTTCCTTGTAATTATAATTTCTTTTTTTTAAATAAAAATTAACACTTACATCCTTATAACGTTTATTTAATTTTTTTTCATTCAGAATAAAATCCGGAAAACCAATCATATCGGTTATGGCATCAGCTTTTTCCATTGCCAGCTCTAATGTTTGCCGATCCATCCATGTTAAATTATCTAAATGTTCTTTGAATGCATCTTTAATTTGTTTGATCATAATTTTACTTTCATTTTTTGATTCACCACGAAATGCCGAATGAACAAATATTGATCCGACAGCAAAACCAAGTACCGAACTTGTATCACTAATACAATAACGCCATTGACTTGAACTACCTTCCGAACCGATTAATACCTGCGTAAATGTTTTGGCTGCATCACGAAATGGTTTCGATAGATATGTAACCATTGGTTGTACTACTGACCATACTATTGTATTCACTAATATTCTATATTTTGAAAAAAACATTCATTAAAGGGTTAAATATTTGATTTAATTACACATAGGACAAATACATACGTTTTATTATCATTATCACTTAAATGTTGTTCAATTAATTTGGATAAATTTGAAAAAAATTCCGGTGAATAAACAACAATGGATTCATTTTCATTAATTTCACGTTTAATCGGTGCAAATGCTTCACGAAAATATCCAATCCAATCAATGAATGGTGCTAATTTATTCAATTCCGATAATTTCATTTTATGATAAGTTTTTTGATCATCACGTAAATCTTCCGGTGGTATTAAGATTTTCGAAATTTTTCGTTCAAATTCTAATACTTTTTTCATTTGCATCCGAGTCGAAGATTCATCACCACCACCAAGCAATACACCAACTTTAGTCATAAAATCCAAATATGCAACAATTATTTCATCATTATCAGTTTTATTTAGATAATAATCTCTTGACATTATAAAACTTCCTTGTTGTAAATTTAAAACATTTTTTGTTGAATCTTTTTCATCAGCACTAACTGACCATTCAAAAAGACCACCACGATTATAACGATTATGCATTAATGTTAGTTTACTTTGTAAACTCCATGCTTGTACATCAAAACCACCGCTTATATTCCAACCACCAATCTAAAATCAAGGGAAAAATGATAAACAAATCAATCAATCAATCAATCGATCGATCATCAAATAAACATTACCAGATCAATAAATTCTTGCATCGGTTTGGCTTTTAATTTTTCAATAATTTTATTACGATCCATACATGAATCATAATAGATTTTTGCTTTACGTTCAGCATCACTAAATTTACGTTTTTTATCTTCTATGGGGAAAAAAAAGAACATTTTTTCTCAAACAAAAAATCACCAACAAACGAAAAAAACTTACCGAAAACATTTTTCAATATAAGTTGATTATCTTGTGTTAATTTACCAAACGTTCCCCATGATGCATGACTATCGGGTAATGGATTTTTTCGAATCCAACCACCACATGCATAATGATAAAAATCATCACATGGATTTATTGATTCATCCAATGAATCAATAATTGAACTTGATATTGAAATGCATTTAGGTTTAAGGCATAATAAAGCTGTCATAACAAACAAAGAAACAAGAAAAAAAAACGGAATTCAGTTAAAAAATTCGGGAAAGTTTCCGGAAAAATTTCTGGAAAGAACTTTTCGGAAAAATTTCTCTTACAATTTTCATTGGTTAAATGAACCTGCAATATTGGATACGGTTGTAATAATAATATCATTGATAGTACAAATATTATTAATGTTAATAATATAATAGCTAAAAATGATATTTTTTCAAATTGTGTCCAACGTGACCAGAAAAAATTTCTTTTATTACCAAATACATTTGATGTTGTTATGAATGATATTGAATAATTTTCATTTGTATTTGTATTTGGATTTTGATTGTTGTTGTTGTTTTGTACCATCGATGATCGAATATTATCATTCGATGATGATGATGATAATAGATTCTGTGATCTTATGAATGGATCATTATTATTTCTCGATGTTACATTGGCGTTAGTGGCGTTAGTAGAATCATCATTAATCAATTGAATATTACTTGAAAAATGTGGATTACCAATACTGGTTAGATTATTATTTGTAAACATTAAATTTATTGATGATGATTGATCATCATCTAATAATTCTTCACGATGATAACCGGTTACTGGTTTTAATTGTAATGTTGCCATTATAGTTTGTTGTTTTTGATTTATTTCAATTTTATTATCGATTATTACATTGATCCATTATCATTAACACTTTGATGTCGGCAGATTTTGCATCCAAAATTTGTTTGTTTGTTACGATTTTCAATCGATGGAATGTAGTTTTGGTTTTGGTTCGGTTTTTTTTGGCAAAAATGACTAGTATCAAATATCAATAAAAGTAATTAACGAGTATTATTAAATTAGGGTTAAATTTTTGTTTTGTTGTTTGATCATTTGGTCATCAAATTGATGCAATATTTCAGCAAATGTAAAAGTGAAAAACGAGAAAAATATTAACGCCTCGACGACAACAACAACAATGAAAAAAATGTAACTAGATTTTGAATGGCAGACATTTTTTTGTTCGTTTATCAAAATCAGTTAATGATGATGGTGATGATTCGGATGGTCAGTCGAACACACACATTTTGTTCAATTAATTGATTGATTGATTGAACATTTCATTTTTTTGCCTGCCCGGGATTCAGCCATTTACTTTGATGATCTATATGATTTGGCTTGGTTTGGTTTGTTTGTTTTTCGTTTTTTCATCACAATCATCATCGCAAGATAAATTTCGCATCAATATTTTTTTCTGTTTGGTGTATGGTGTGTTTGGTGTTATTCCAAGAAAAATTATTCAATTATATAGAAGGCAATGATCAAATGATTGATGATGGTGGTGGTGGTAGAATTATGAATCAAAAAGATATATATAGCATCTGTATCAAGTGTGTGGTGCGTGTGTATGCGTGCAATGTTTTTCTTGTTGTATTTCGAATCGCCAAATCATTCGGTTCTATATAAATCAAAGAATGGCAAGAGAAACTTTTCGGGATTCAGTTTGGTTTGATTTTTGGTTTGCTTTCATTAGAAAAGAAAATTTGCACTGAAATTTTTTTTTCAAAAATCAATTTAGAAAAATCAATTGGGATTTTCTGTTTTGTTTTTTTCGGTTTCGGTTTCAAATTTTCAAATGGATTATTACATTGAAATCATAAGATTTTTTTATTTTGTTTATTTAGTTTTTCTGGGAAAAAACAAAGCAAAAAATTGTACCGAGAAAAAAATCACGAGATTTTCGATCAAAAAAGAAATTTTTAAAAACAAATGAAGACATAAAGCTTTATGGATCAACAAATGATACCATAATATAACGAACACCTTTAGTAACGGTCAGACCTTCATGAAAATGTGTTAAACGACCAGGATGTATTAGTGACCAACCAACACGAAGATTTGTTATTGAACAATTTTGTCGTATAAATCGACAACCACCACCCTTTATTTATTCATTTATTTGGAGAGGGGGAAAAAAAATTTCAAAAAAAATGTTTCCAAACAAAACCAAAAACAAACAAACCTCATAATCAATATTTGGTCGATTCAAAGCAATATTCACCGTATAAGTTGATGCATCATGATGTGGCCGTAAAAATGCCTGTTCATTTGGATGATAACGTACAACAAAATTCATTATTGCTTGTGGTGGCTGAAAAGAAAGAAGAAAAATTTACAAATTTGTAATTAGAATAACTTTCTCTACATATAGTCAATGAACATACATCATGATAATAACCGATAAATATTTTCTCCTGTACTGGACGAACATATTCTCGTAAAAAATATAACCATTGTTGTTCAAGACCAACTTGTTTCATATGTATATCAACTGTTGGTACATTTTCATAACCACCAGCTAAACGTGGATCTTCATTTTTACCCGCTGACCATTCACCATTATTTTCCATTATTTCTATTATTGGTAAAAACAAAAAAATTAATCAAAAAACTTGACCAAGATTTCAAACAAACCAATCAAATGTTGACAAAACACAGGTGTTACAATTGGAAACCAATAAACATCATGACATGGTTGTTCAATAATATTATCATCTAATAAATTTTTTGTATAATTTTCATGTATATAACGTTTACGCCATTCAATTTCATTCGTATAAATTTCATAAAATTCCGAATGTTTCAATTGAAAATCAATAGTATCCATTTGTGCTAAATGACCATAATCATTTTCATTCGTTACGAACATAAATATACCATTCAAACGAAGAATATGACAAAAATACATTTCTGGATCTAATGATTCACCACCATTACCATTACCATCAATATCATCGTTTTTATGTTGTGGTTGTTGATGATTTCGATATGATAATGGAAATTTCCATTGTTGATTTTTTGTTTGAAAATTTTCCTGATTTAAAATGGTTGATGATTTTATTAGATAACATGATGATATGAATGGTACATTCCATATTCCTCTGTTTGAAACGAAAATTCAAAAGAAAATCCAAAGAAGAACGTTCAAAAAATTTTAAAAAAAGAAATCCATCACATTCTGCGCATATCTGATTCGAATGCATGATTAGGATGATGGAACGAAGAAACAATAAACATTCGAACAATGTTTTTTGTTTGTTTGTCGTTCGAATGAATGAATGAAAATAATAAAGGAAGATGATGATGTTGATGATGATAATAGAATAATTCAATAAGGGTTATTTATTATGATTATGGCGATGATTATGATTTACTATATAGCCCTTTTTTCATATATATTTAGGGATGTTTTCATACTGAAAGAATGGAGAAAAAACTTATCGGACAACCGAGAAAAAAATGGCTGAACAAACAACAAACAAATACGACATTTAATAATGTGGACAGGAAGAATTTCTATCTTGAAAACTGAAAAAAAATGATTTAAATTTTCATTGACGATGATGATTTTGATGAAAAAGAATACCAAATCTTTCTACATCTATCTAATGATAATAATGATTATTATAATGATAATTATCATTGATGAATGTAATTGTCGTCGTGGTAAAAGTAGCCGCCGCCGTAAAATGCGTAAACAAAATTCAAAATTATTATTTCATAATAGTAATTCAAAACGTGCCGATTATTATATGAATGTTGATGTATGAATGTATAGTGTTTTTCTATAGAAAATTACCTAAATATTAATTAACCTTTTGATTACTTAATTAATCAATTAGGGTGCACAAATAATACGATCATCACATTTTGATTATGAATTCTATCTTGGTCATAAAATTATATTCATTTGTGTGGCTACTGGTGATCCATTACCAACGTAAGTTTTGTTTTTAAAACACGTGGTTATTTTCAATCCTAAAATTTCTCTAATTTTGGTCGTTCTAAAATAAAGAATTACCTGGTTTAAAGATGGTATCGAAGTGGATAATAGTTTCAATACTAATCTACATGTAAGTGTCTTGTTTGCTTAAATCAAATTGAATTAATTAACCCTTGATTTTCAAATCAAATCAAAGATAAATGAATGGAAATTTGGTGAAAAAGAAAAAGAAGCACAAATAAAAAGTAAATTAGAAATTGATCCAGCCAGACAAATGGATTCCGGTACATATGAATGTATGGTTAGTGCATCAATTAAATTTAACACTATCCTTGTCTTTGGGTGTTTTTTTTAATAACAATTTTTTCGTTTCTCAACAGGCAAACAACAAATATGCAGTGGATCGAAAAAATTTTAAAGCCGATTTTTAAAAAATGTCAAAAAATTCTCAAATATTTACCTTCGTTCATTTTTAATAATTTGAACATAATCATGTGAACGTGAATAATAACCATCATTAGTAATTGTACCCCAAAAATTTGACCAATATTCTTTTGGTCGAACTAGCATTGGTGCAATTATTGATCTGTAAAAAAAATAGAGAAAATCGATCGATTAATCGATTGATTGATTCAACCAAAAATCAAATTCAAACTTACCGATTAGCTTCAATTAGTTCGTGAAGTGTTTTTGAATTTGTTAACCGAACATCACTATCAACAACAAACAAATAATCACAATTGATACGTTGACATTCATCACTAAATGAAAATAAAAACGTTTTTTTTTTGGTTAAATTTTTTCCATTGAAAATTGATTGATCGATTGGGTTGAAATAGGAAAAAAACTTACAGATAATTATTACGTAATTGCCATTCATTAGCTAATTTTGTTTCTGAATATTGAAAATTTTTATGAAATTTTCCGGAATTTTCGGAAAATTCCCCAATTTGTTCATTATGAAAATCAGTATTTGATTGTATGAATATTGTTATACGATTTTTCGGATAATCCATTGATTTCAAATAATCAAGAAATTCCGGGAAAAATGGTGTTGGTTTCAATATGATTATGGCCATTAAAACATGTGGATAATCTTCGTGATCAATGTTATCTAATTGAATACGTGATTCATTACATGATTGACAACCAATAGATGGATGCCATGACCGGGCCAGATAATTTCCCAATGAATTTAATGGAATTTTACTTGCACCATTTCCATGTATAATCAATGGAAATGTTTGTGTTTTTTTATTATAAAGAAATGTTTCGGCAACATTTTTATTTGTTCCTTGTTGTTGAGGACTAAATCGTATTTCAACATCACCAATTTCACCATTAAGATTTTGAAATAAATTGGAATTCAAATCTAAACGAATACCAAAATGTTTACGATATTTTTGTTCCAGATAAATTTTTGTATAAAATAATTGATCATCATCATCATCATTTAAATCCTGGGCAAGATTAACAATTTTATAAAGTTCTGTGGCAAAACCAATAAAACCACCTGAATTTAGATAACGTTTACCATCCGATTTGGGATATGATGCCTGTTCAAAAAAAAATAGTTCAAAGTTAAATGTTAAAAAAAAAATTCCGGAAAGTTTCTCAACAACAGAAATACACACATACCGCCAATGATACATCAGGCCAACAATATTTTTCCGATGAAAATACAACATTTGCATTGAATGTTTGAAATTTTTTAACGATTTCATCGCTGTTACCATTTACGATGACATCATAACTATCGGTAAACAGTATAAGCCGGTTATCATGTTCATTTCGTATTGATTCTAAATATTGACGCAATAAACGAATTTTTTGTCCACCACCACTTTGTCTAGCAACATCACCACCTTTCCATGGTTGATTTAAGCCAAGAATTTCAGATTTTAAGCCATAAATCTTTAATGAACGATTAAAACGTTCAAAACCATCGGTTATATGTGTTGAAACCGATACAACTATCAAATCTTTTACTGTCAAAAAAAAAAAACAAAAAGCAAAATCAGTCAAAAAATCAAAAATCAAAAATCAAAAAAATCAAAATTTACCTTTTCTAGTTGTCAAAACAATTTCAATCAATGATAACAGAATAAAGAAAATGGCGATTAACTTTGATTTGTCCATTACCAAAATGAAAAATGACTAAATTCGGTTGCTACCGAATGAAACAAAAACAAACGAAAAACGAAAACGCGGAAATCACAAAAATGAACGAAAACTTTGATGTCATCAACCAAGACAACGCCTTACAACTTGGATTTTTTTTGTTACCATAAAGAAGAAGAAAATGAAAAACATGTGTTTTGTTTACATTATTATCATCTTCTTTATCGAAAAGAAACTATAGAAAGATTCACATCAAATCCATATCAAACCAAGCTAATATAATCAATCCATGCATGTTTTCCCCACTGCAGTGAACATGGTCGGAGAAAGCATAAACAAATTTTCTTTATCCAAATGTTGTTGTTGTTGTATGGGTAGTGTGTCTAGTATTTCTATATGATGATAAAGATAGACTCAACCGAAACCAAATATATACTGTTTCTGTTCTTAGAGATTTTTAACCCACCACCACCATGCATGGATTCAAAAGAAACTTTTTGCGCAAGTCTTATTCTTGTCTCCAAATGCCGAACAACATTTGTTTCGAATCAAATTCTGTAAAAGTTCAATCAAAAAGCCAAAAGTTCAACACAAAATACCGGAAATTCGCCCGGGAAACTTGCCGGGAAATTTTCCGACAAACAACCCATTAACTAATGATTTTTTTTTGCTTGTAAAGATTTTTTTTTATAAAGACGAAAAAAAAGAAGAGAAAAAAAAATTTGTTTATTATTATTTAGAGATTATTATTATATTTATATAATATAATATTTATAAAACACACTACAATGTTGTATGTTTGTTGATTTGGTAATTTTTTTCTGTTTGTTTGTCGTTGTGTAATGTTTATGAATTTAAAAATTTCATAATTTTTTTCCATTGTTTTTTTTTGTTTTGTTAAAATGTTGTTTTTTAGTTTGTTAAATGTTTTGGTTTATTTTTTGTATTTTCATTTTTTTTATAATTGTGTGTGGGCGTGTGTTAATGGTAGTTGATGATGATGATGATGATAATGATGATAAATGGTGGTGATGATGATGATGGCAATGACTTAAAAAACAAACAATTTTTTTTCGTCTGTTAAATTGCGACAAAAACTTTGTTGTTGTTGTTACACACACAGAATTTGCAAGAATGTTTCGATTGCTGTTAACCGGAGAAATTTTTCCAGGAATAATCTGAAGAATCTTTTGGAATTTTCGGGCAAATTTCCCTATGCATTCATGTTTGTGGGTGTTGATGATAGGTAAATCAATGGAGTTTTTTGTTTTTTTGTTTGAAACACACCTGGGTAAACAAAACTCAACCCTTTTGTTTTAGTAAAATTCAAATGTTTTTTTGTTTTCAATTTCGAAACCCCCAAAAAAAAGACACCGAAAGAGTGTTTGTGTGTTTGAAAAAAAATTTTCAGAAAATTGCGAAAAAAAAAGATTCCTAAAATGATTTTTTGGATGAAATGTGGGAGGGGCGAAAAAAAGTGGGTGGATCATCATCATCATCATCGAATGGGTGTGTTTGTTGGTTTGTATGGGTGTGTTTTGTTTGCGAGTAGAAAATCAATTCAAAATTTTGTCGTCTGTTTTTTTCGCGGGTTTTTTCAAATTCAAATTCAAATGTTTGTTTTCAGAAATGTTGTTGTTGTTGTTTTCTCAGCAAAACGAAGAGAATTGTTGGCGAGTATATTCTTGTGTGTGTGTGTGTGTGTGTTTCAAACAGCAAAAATTCAAATTTTTCCCCCTCTCTCTCTCTCCCCAAACGACAATTTGATAATGAAATGAATGAATTAAGATGGTGGTGGTCATCATCATCATCTGATATCGGTGAGTGAAAAAGTGAATGTGTGTGGTGAATGTGATGAATCAAGAAAAAAAAATCGATCGGCGTGTAAGTGGGCGTGTAATTTGCAATTTTTTTAAATATTTATATATTTGTATATGTAAAAGGTATATATAAATTGGTATTTCGCGGTTGTTGTTGTTGTTGTTGGATCGTAACTGTTGTTGGATTTGGTGAATGGCAAAAACAAAAGAAAAAACCAAAACAAATTGAAATTGAATAGATAGAATTGCTGAGAGAAAAAAAAACTGAACAAACGAAACAAACAAACTTATTGAAAACAAAAAACAACAGAATTTTTTTTTGGGGTATGGGGGTGTGCAAGAATTTGGCGTATGCAAGAATTTCGTGTGAATTGAAATTTGAAAAAAATTTGGAAAAAAACGGATGATGATGATGATCGGATTCCAAAAAAAAATGTATATAAATGGATGATGATGATACGGATGATGTATATAAAATGTGTGTATTGATGATGATCGATCCCATCGATCGATCAATCGATTGATTTAATATTCCTGATTTTTTTGTTTTGTTTTAAGGATTCAAACACCAAAAAACCAAAAACAAAACAAACAAAACAGGCAAACAAAAAACAAACGAACAAACAAACAAACAAAAAAATCTTCAATACCATGAATAATCGATGATAATAATGATGATGATGATGATGATAATGATGATTTTAGGAAGGTTGGAACAGAAAAATTTGAAATATAATTAAGGTGGTGACGATGGGGGTGTGTGACTGGTTGGTTGTCTGTTTTTTTCATAGATCAAATGTGTGTGGGCGTTTGTAAGTGTGTGTGTGTATCAATATGGTCCAATATAGTATATAATTAATAATTAATAATCGGTAATTTTCAATTAAGAAATATAGAAATAGAGAGAGAGAGAATCGAAGAGAGAGAGAGAGAGACAAGTAAAGAGAAGAAAAGAGAGAGAGAGAGAGAGAGAGATGTACGGGTAATGCGTGGGCGTCATGTAATGTAGTAATAATAATAATAATAATAATAATAATAATTTTTTCAAATTTTGTTGTTTTTCCATGAATTTGTTGTTGTTGTTGTTGTTTCGTTGTCGTTTTTCGGATGTAAAATATAATAATAATTAATAATAATAATAATACTTTAGTTCCATATTTTAAGGAAACTATCCCATGATCCTGTTGCAACAGCCATACCATCTTCGGTAACACCTAAACATGATACTCTATTATCATGTCCAGCTAAAACACCTGTAAAATTGTTGAAATTAGAAATTTTGAGATGTGTTTTTGGGATATAAAATACAAGAAGAAAAAAATACACATACCGGCACGTTCAGCTTTCATTGAATCCCAAACATTACAATTAAAATCATCATAACCAGCTAATAATAGACGACCAGATTTTGAGAAAGCAACTGAAGTTATTCCACAGATAATATTATCATGTGAATACATGGCAAGCTCTTGATCGGCTCGTATATCGAATAGACGACATGTTGCATCATCTGAACCGGTTGCAAATGCATAACCGTTTGGGAAAAACTGTTTTTTTAAGCAAAAAAAAAAGAGTTAGAAAATTAATCGACAAAATCAAATATTAAACTTACAGTGACGGCATTTATATCAGATTCATGACCGGGAAATGTTTGTTTGCACATTCCGTCACGAATATCCCATAGCTATATTTTTAATTACAAATTTAAAATTAATTTCATAATTTACAAAAAAAATTTTTAAAAGAAAAGAATATATTACCTTAGCTGATGCATCACAAGCACCAGATACAAATGTACGCATATCAGGTGCAAGTGATAATGACATAACATCACCGGTATGTCCAGTAAATGATGTACATTGTTGACCGGTTTCAATATCCCAAAGAGCGCTAAAATTTTTTGAATATGAAAATTTTAGACAAAACAACAAAACCAAATGAAAATCAATCAACATTACCATGTCATATCGCCAGAACTAGTAACAATTTGGTTATCATCAAGAAATCGACAACATGAAAGATAGCCAGTATGGCCAGGCAGTTCACGGCTAACTCGTACATTACCTTCACGAGTTTTAAGACTGTAAATTGAACAAATATTATCAAGACCACCACATGCAACATATGAACCGGATGGTGCATATGCACAAGTCATAACCCAACTAGATCTTAATGGTATTGCATGTACTTTATTTGTTGTATATGCATCCCATACTATTAATTTGCCATCTTGTGATGCTGATACAAGATATCTAAATGTTTTTTAAAAAAATATCAAAAATAACCATTTCATTAATAAATGATTAATAAATCATCCACAAAAATCGAAAAACAAAACAAACCTAGAATCTGATCCCCAATGCATTGCATATATTTTAGCTAAATGACCACGTAATGTTCTTCTCGTACGCATCTGTATACGGCCAACTGGTTCCATGTTAGTATTGGCCTGTACCAATGAGGTATCACATGCGGCCTTTCGTGCATCCTATTTATTTTTCCAAATTTTTTTTGAAAATTGTATCAAAAAAACAGAAAACATTTTTAAAAAAAACCAATAAAATCAATCAATAAAACATTGATTAATTTGATCAAATTCTCCCCCTTAGAGACGAAAAAAATAGACCAACGAGAGAGAGAGAGAGACTGAACAAAGATGCAAAAATTTCATTAAAATTTAAAATTTTAATTTTTTAAAAAACCATCAACAATGTTTATCATTGAACAAAAAAAAAATGGACAATTTTTCCCCTCTGTTAATAAAAGAAAAATTCCTGGTAAAAAAAATTCCCGTAAAGAATCCAGAAACCTAGTTTTTTTTCTTCTTTGAAAAAAATAAGCCATTAACATTTTCAAACAACTTAAACATCCATCCATCCCCCAGCCATCCACCCACCCACACAGATCTTCACAGTTCACTCTCTCCTAAATATTAATGTTTCTAGGACTTTATGACGTCATTGTTATCATCATCAACGATGAGGATTCGGCTCCCAAAAAGTTTTTTTCTTTTCGTTCAACAGAAATCAATAGTAGAATCACTGAATGAATGAAATGACGAAGACGACGACCTAAACAATTTTTCTGGAAACAAAAAATCATGTTTCCAGAAACTTTCTATATAATTCTTTTCGGTTTTACAACAAAAAATAATTATGGAATATTCTACTGCTACTACCACACTATAATACCTAAAATAACAACAACAACAAAATGATAAACTTTTTTCTGACAAAAAGGTGATTGAAATAAAATGAGTAATTTTTTCTTCATTTTCATTAGAAAAATTCTTTAAAAAGATGTTTAGGTAGATAAAGGTAAAAATTCTAGACATCAATTTATACGTTGTTGTTGAAGTAGTAGTAGTTTTTTTCTCAATTAAACTATTTTCATTGTATAAATTTGGCTGTGATATTTTTAATCTGATAATTTTTTAATCACATTGGTTCGAAGGGGGAGAAAAAACTTTCCGAAAAAATTGGAATATTTTCCCGGAAAATTTCTTTGATCAAATAAAAAAATTCGACGATAATCAATCAATCAATGAACTTACTCTGATTGCATTTTTTAATGTTTCAGCTTCTTGACGTAAACTGTCTAATTCATTCATTTTTGGTTGATTTTTTTATGTTTGTTTGTTTTGGTTAAATTAAAAAAAAAATTGATATCTGGTTGTTGCTGGTTTTTTTGTTTGTTGTATATATAGTGATGATGATGATGATGAACAAAATTTTTGGAAAAAAAATTACAATATTTGTTTGAGTTGAGTGTGTTTTGGGGGGATTGAAAATGATGATTTAATGACAATGATGATGAAGGATTCTGGATTCTGGTGAAGGATTCTGGATCCTGGTGATGATTACGATGATGATGATGATAATGACAAGACAATAATTATTTACTGATGATGATGGATAATGATAAATAACTTTTGTTCTTCTTCTTATCTCTTCTTGTTTGTTTAAAGAAATATTTTCAGGAATTCTTTATTTTGGCGCCAAAAAACAAAAAAATTTTCGATTCTTGTTGTTGTTGTTTCATTTACTGATGATTATTGAAAAGCGGTATACAAATCAGATTGGTTTGGTTTGATGAAAAATTTTTCTCAAATGAACACAACACGTTTTTTTTGCTGTTTGAATGAATATATTCCACATCAGACGAAGAAAAAAACTGGAAAAAAAGAAAAATCAAAAAATTAGAATCCAGAATTAGAAACAGAAAAATCAACAAACAAACATCAATCTGATCAAATTCTTGACCATTAGTAGTAAATAAATCGCGGCTATTCTTGTTGTTGTTGATCAAATAGAAAAAGTTCTAGGTACACCAAACACCTTTCGAAGAAATTTTAAAGAATTTGAATTTCAAGAAAACATGGCAGCCTTATTTTCCAAAACAGAAACCGAAGAGGATAAGGCACGATTTGAAAATTCAATTCGTTTTTTTTTTGTTTTGCTTAATCAAAGAAAAATTTTCTTTTTACGAATCATAATTGTTGTTGTTTGAATCAGAAAAACATTTCACAGAATCGGATTTTTTTTGATCGAAAAGACAGACCGGTTTGAACAATTCAGTTCAATCCACTATCAACAACAAAACACACACACACAGAATTCACAGAATCCAAAAGTATTGAGTAATTTTTTTTCTTCTGTTGATAGAATCGCATTTCATTTTATCCAACAAAATGAGAATCCAAACAACAGAAATAATAAAAAACAAAAAATTTTTCACCACCAACAACAATATTATCAGTCAATCAATTCTTTACTCACGGATCATGGCCTAAACAAACTTTTTCTTTTTCTTTTTGCATTGAAAATACACACACACACTAAATAAACCAAATAGAAATTAGGGCAAAATTTTTCTAAAAATAGCAGCAAAATGATGCTGTTGTTGATGTTGATGATGATGATCAACGAATAAAAACATTAACATCAAACAAGAGGAGCAGAAAAATATATAATTTGCAAGAGAGAGAGAGAGAGAGAGAGAGAGAGAGAGAGAGAGAGAAAATACTCAAGTAAAGAAGAAAAAAATATGAAATGTTCCAACATTGGAATATTAGTTTTAGTTTCGTTTAGGTAAGAATTTGGTAGTAGCATTAGCAATAGTAGTGATAGTGTTGGCAAAGTAGTGGTAAGAATATCGTCGTACACACGGACACATTATGGAATTTTGAGTTCCAAAAATCAACAACAACAACAACAAAGGGTAGTGGTTACAGAATATTTTCAACACAACTAATATTTACTAATACCACTACCTCAAATAATAAAAATATATTGGAAAAAAGAATCGTATAGAATTTATGGAACATACACAAGACACACAACACAAGCATATAAAACATCAATTTTTTGGTTTGTTATTTGGAACATAGCTTTGGTATTTTGTTCCTGGATCATTCATTTATATATAGACAGTGATACTATCAACCGACCTAAGCTCGTTGATTATGATAGTGTTTTTTTTGTTGAAGCAAAAAAAAAAAAAAAAAAATAGAATCAATAATCAGATCAGGCCAATGGTCGCCGACAAGGGTTATTTGATGTTGTTGTTGTTGTTGTTTAAGATATTCTGGATGTAATTCTGTTGTCGTCAGAGTCTCGTTTTTTTTATACAAGAATTTGGGTTAAAGATTGTAATGGATCCTATATATACAAACGAACAAATGGATGTATGGATCTATTTAGTTGAAAGCTAAAAACTAAAACTAAACAAAATTCAAATTGAATGTTCCACATTAAAGGGAATTTTAAAAGGTTACAAACAAAACAAAAAACACAGAATTCAGAATTAAGAATAAATTTACAAAATTCAAAATCACGTTATCTAAACCTTAAATTAAAATAATAAAAATTTACTAATTTATCATTAGTTAATTAGTTAATTAATTATAAATTATAAATTAATGAAAAAAAATGATAAGAAGATTATAAATGATTATTATAATAATTCAAGCATCAACAATGGATGACAGAATTGCTGAATTGCAGAATTACAAAAAAACATTCGAAATCTTTATTCTGCTCTCCATCTGGTGCTCATCAAGTGTATCACACACACACACATCAGAGAAGAATATTCTGTGTACGATTCTGGGATTTTTTTTCTTTTTCGAAAATCCAACCAAGAAAAAAAGAACAGCTAATCATCATCATCACTGAGAGAAAAAACTAGACAAAACACACACACACACACACAAGACTCACCTGTGTTTAATGAAGATGTTTTATTTCATTGATCAAAGATCAAAATTCAAAGATCAAAATTTAAATTTTTAAAATTTTCATTTCAATTTTAAAAACACAAATCAAAACAAAACAAAAAATTCACATAAAAAGATCCATATATTCAATGTTTTTTTCTTTTCTTTTCCATGAGCAAAGTTGAAAATCAATCAATAATAAAATATTAACAAAATGAAAAACATTTTTTTGGATGAGCAGCAGCAGCACGTATCACATTCATTCAAAACAGTATACAGGCAAAATACATCATCAAAAAAAATAGCTTTCGCGGTTTGTGGGTTAACTATGCTTCTGCCTATGATGATGATGTTTTTCAAGTGATATTCCATACAACTAAAAAAAAATAGGAGAAAAAAAAATGTTTGTGATTCGCGTTTCATTTGATTTTCTCATCATCATCATCATCCTCATCAGAAAAACATCATTTTTTTCACGTATTTCATTTTCAAAAGTAAGAAAAAAAGAAAGAAAACTTCTCTCTCTCTCTCTCTGAAATGAATCTTTCAATGTTTTCAACAAAAATCAAGTTTGTTGCTACTTTTCTGTCTATAAAGATGATAATTCTGCTTCTCTCTCTATCTTTCACTTATTTCCAATCACAATTTTCAAGTTCTTTCTTTCTTTTTCGTGTGTCAATTAATAATATTGATGATGTTTAAATGATGATCGGAATATATCAAACAACAACAACAAATTAGAAGAGAGAAAAAGATGACAATCTTCTTAGATCATCCTCAGCATAAAATCCAAAATATGAAACAAAAAACAATTCCGGAATTTACCTTTGTTTTTACTGATAAAAAAAATGTGCAAAGTTTTTAAAAATGGAAAATTTCCCAAGAATCAAAGAATATTTTTGCTTTAGTTTCTTTTCTTCATTGATTCACAATCAAAAATCAAACACAACAGAACACAAACCACCACCACCAATAACATTAGATATCCAATCTCTTCGAAACTACAGGATATCCACCAAAAAAGATTTTAAAAAAAACAAACCACCAAAAACAAACCACAGTTCACTTTCCTTTCACTCACACAAACACACACACACACCAGCCAGCCAAACAAACAAATCTTTCTCCCCCTTTTTTTCGCTTACAAATTAGCAGCCACAAAAAACTTTTTTTTTTTTTGAAATCAAAAAAAGATTCAAGAAATGAAATGAAGTGAATTTTTTTTTTCTTAATTTGTGGTCACCGTTGTCGTCGTCTTCTTCGTTTCTGTTGTCGAAAACACTGATGTACATATACACTAACACCTGAAATGTGAAGATATCCAAAAACAGAAAAACAAAAAATATTTTCTTCGAAGAGAAGAGGTCGAATTCAGATTCGAATGATTTCAAAGATGGATTATTGATGATGATGATGATGATTGTGGATGGCTGGCTGGATATAATGATAATCGAATGGATTTGAGATTTGCAGTGGTCGAATGTGGAGATTTTTTGCTAATTATTTTTGAATTTCGAATCGATGTTGATTGATTTCGTTTTTGTTTTCGGGGATGAAGATCTAAATTTTCTTGATTGATTGATTTTGTTGTTGGTTGGATTTTCTTTTGAAACAAGGAATATTACAGGATAAAAACAAAACAAAACAACAACAAACAAACAACACAGACAGTTTTTTTTTCTCGGATTCCTATTTTGTGCTGCTGCTGCTGTTGGATTCTCTACAAATTAGAGAGATTGAGGGGGGAGATTCTGGATTCTTTGCTCAATTTTTTTTTTCGTTCGTTCGTTAGTTGTTGTTGATGTTGGTCGATTCGATTCGTTGTTTTTGCTTTTCCAAGGGAGAGAGAAAGAAAATTTCGGTTTTCTGGTGTGGGGAGAGATTTTTGTTTTTCGCTCGGTTCACATCAAGAATATAATATTCTGGTTGTTTTTTGGCTCAACCAACGATGATAATTTTTTGGATGATGGTAGTAGTGGTAGTGATTTTCAAAAGAATCTACTTGGAATTCAAAAAAAGAAGAAGAAATTCTTGCACCAGAAAAGAACCAGAAATTTGGTTTGTTTGGATTCGATTCTTCTGCTGTCGATGATGATGATGAGATTTGGATAACAACAAAAACAACTAGTGGTAGCAGTAAATGAGTGACAATATTCCAGAAACCCGAAAANATAAAAATTTACTAATTTATCATTAGTTAATTTGTTAATTAATTATAAATTATAAATTAATGAAAAAAAAATGATAAGAAGATTATAAACGATTATTATTATAATAATTCAAGCATCAACAATGGATGACAGAATTGCTGAATTGCAGAATCAAAAAAAAAACATTCGAATTTTTTTATTCTGCTCTCCATCTGGTGCTCATCAAGTGTATCACACACACACACCAGAGAAGAAAGAAGAATATTCTGTGTACGATTCTGGGATTTTTTTCATTTTCCAAAACCCAGCCAAGAAAAAAAACAGCTAATCATCATCAGTAATCTTACTGAGAGGAAAAACTAGACAAAACACACACACACACACACACACACACATAAGACTCACCTGTGTTCAATGAAGAGGTTTTATTTCATTGATCAAAGATCAAAATTCAAAGATCAAAAATCAAAATTTAAATTTTTTAAATTTTTGAATTTTAAAGTCGATTTTTTTAAAAAAACAACAACAAAAAAAAAAAAAAATTCACATGAAAAGATCCATTTTGAATATAATCAATGTTTTTGTTTTTTGTTTTGGTCTTTTTCCATGAGCAAATGAAAAAAATCAATCAATAATAAAATATTAACAAAAAAATGAAAAACATCAATATACACTTTGATGAGCAGCAGCAGCAGCACGCATCATGCACGTATCACATAAATATACAGGCAGGCAAAATTCATCATCATTGGGAGAAAAAATGCAGAAAAAAAATAGCTTTCGCGGTTTGTGGTTAGGTTTAACCAGCCAAACATATGCTTCTGCCTATGAATGATGATGATTATAACGCTAAACGCGCAATGATGATGATGATGATGTTTTTGAAGTGATATTCCATACAACTAAAAAAAAATAGGAGAAAAAAAAAATGTTTGTGATTCGCGTTTCATTTGATTTTCTCATCATCATCATCATCCTCATCAGAAAAACATCATTTTTTTCACGTATTTCATTTTGAAAAGTAAGAAAAAAAGAAGAAAACTCTCTCTCTCTCTGAAATGAATCTTTCAATGTTTTCAACAAACGAACGAAAATCAAGTTTGTTGCTACTTTTGTGTCTATAAAGATGATAATTCTGCTTCTCTCTCTATCTTTCACTTATTTCCAATCACAATTTTCAAGTTCTTTCTTTCTTTTTCGTGTGTCAATTAATAATATTGATGATGTTTAAATGATGATCGGAATATATCAAACAACAACAACAAATTAGAAGAGAGAAAAAGATGACAATCTTCTTAGATCATCCTCAGCATAAAATCCAAAATATGAAACAAAAAACAATTCCGGAATTTACCTTTGTTTTTACTGATAAAAAAAATGTGCAAAGTTTTTAAAAATGGAAAATTTCCCAAGAATCAAAGAATATTTTTGCTTTAGTTTCTTTTCTTCATTGATTCACAATCAAAAATCAAACACAACAGAACACAAACCACCACCACCAATAACATTAGATATCCAATCTCTTCGAAACTACAGGATATCCACCAAAAAAGATTT